CGGAGACCCCGAACCCCGCGGCGCTCTCGGCCGGGCCTGCGCCGCGCCCTCCCCCGCTCTCCCAGCCCTCCGGCCGCCGGGGCTCCACGGCCCGGCCCCCAGCGCCCCGCGCATGCTGCTTTGTTTCGGTAGCCGCGACCACCCAAACAGGGCTCGGGTGGGCGGCCGTGGTCGCCGTGATTGGGCCCCCCTCGGCGGCCAGCCCACCTCCCTCCCGCGGGGACCAGGCCCGGGTTCCCGGAGGTTCTCTCTCTCGGCGCAGGCCCGGGTCAGAAGTCCATAGCAGTCGCGATCGATAATTATCCCGCGTTGCTCCTGGGAAGGCGGCTGAAGCCGCAGCTCCTGGCATACCACTCCGACTGGCACGGGCAGGGGGGGAAGCTTGGATCGGAGCTTACAGTTGCCGGGCTCATTGGATCTGTGGATTGCCCCTGGGTGAATCTCTGGGGGACCCGGGAGACACTTTGCTCCCCCGGAGAATTCTTGCTAGCTGCCGCCAGCCAAGGTTATAGGAGTGACAGCTCCATCCGGGGTCGCCTCTGAAGGATCAGGGAAGGGGTTGCCATGTGTGACAAGACATCCAGCCTCAGTCACCCACTCTTCTCTCCTGCGCTCCATCTCCCGAGCTGGCTGGCCAGTGGTTTCCCTGGCAACCCTCCAAAGGCCAGCAGGGAAGCAAGGCATATCTGAGCTCCAGAAACTCAGCTTCAGGGGGAAAAAGGGAGAAGGGCCCCTTCCCAGCCCCACAGAGACACACAGAGCGCCCCTTCCCCACAATCTCCTACAGTTATCCAGCTGAAAATTTTCCTAAGCAGACGTGACTAGGAGCCACAAGCTCTCCCATGATCCTCTTCCCAGCAGCCTTCCCTTCACCTTAAGAATAACATCAGCCACAAAGATCTTGGGGTCTGCGACTGACCACAAAGACCTTCTCCCTGCACAGACTTCTGCTCCTGTCCCAAAGACTGGGGCCAACACCTGGTACAGTGCTTGGAACAGAATAGGGACAGGGAGCTTGGAGGCTGGAGCAGGAAGCAGGAAGCAGGATGGAAGCAACAGCTGTGGGCTTTCCTACAGCACTGTAGTGATGTGTTAACACTTGAGGGTACATTTCTCCTTCTTAGCTTTCATACCTGCGAGCTCTAGCTCGCTGTCTCCTCTGCCGGCCAGGAGCACCCTTGCTCTAGGGCCTAGAGTCTAGGCGGTATGACTGTTACCCTTCCTATTTCCCACCACTCTTCATGCTTTTGTTACATCTCTTACCTTGAAGAACAATTTCTTGTTAACATGTGTCTATCCCCAAGGGCAGACACAATATCCTGTTCACCTTTAAATCCCCCCACCCACACCTAGCGCTGTGTAGACACCCAATAAGTATGCTAGCTCTGGAAAAGGAAGCTACAAGGGCCATGTAGGCATCAAGAACACAGGGTCCCAAACCAGCCATGTGATCACGAGCATTTTTCTGCTTTGATCTCTACTTTCACTACATAGCAATAGCAATACCGTCTGCTTTATGGCATCCTGAGAACCAAGTGAGTTAACAGATGTGAAACACTTCAAATATTGCAAAACACTAATTTCTGTGAGCTATTATTAATATTGTCAATAACAGCTAAGATTTAAATCTCCCTTCCTAAGACTGACCAAAGTCTAGGACTCTACTACCAATGGTCGTTGACCAGCAGCATCCATAAGGGTGCCACTTTAAATGCCCCAAGCAGGTATGCCTCTCTCTCTCTCTCTCTCTCTCTCTCTCTCTCTCTCTATATATATA